CCTGTGAACAGCTAACTGAGTGTGTGTGTTTGGGAAACAGTATTTTATTTCCAAATCTAGTCCATTTCAGTTAGAAGTAGTCCATGCAGTCAGCAGGTCACAAAATCAGTTCTCCAAGTGTCAGTTTTTTCTCTGAACTATGCCAGAAGAAAGCTGGGTGGAAGAAAGCTATAGATTTCAACATGTTTGTTGAAGCAATAACAAAGTAAGCCAAGTGTGACCTAATAAATAAATAAATATAAATATAAATTAATGGAGATATCCCATCTCCTAGAACTGGAAGGGACCTTGAAAGGTCATTGAGTCCAGCCCCCTGCCTTCACTAGCAGGACCAAGTACTGATTTTGCCCCAGATCCCTAAGTGGCCCCCTCAAGGATTGAACTCACAACCCTGGGTTTAGCAGGCCAATGCTCAAACCACTGAGCTATCCCTCCCCCCCATGGTCAGCAACTCCAGATAATCAGTCATACTGCAGGGGAGGGCGTATTTTCCAGGCCCCCCCGAGGACAGGTGACTAGTTCACGCCACTCACACAAACATCCTATTTGGTCACTATACGTTAGAATACTTCAGCTGTACACACTGCAGATTTCCCTGTAGCCACGTGGAATAACATTTCCCTCTGCCAATAGGGCACCACAAGAATAGTTATGTCTTCCAAAATGTGAAAGGCCTGAAATGACAGAAATAACCTTTTGCAGCATGGGCACACTACACACCCCTCACCATGAGGGGAGGGGGGGGGGGATTTGATAGCAGCCTTCAACTACCTGAAGGGGGGTTCCAAAGAGGATGGAGCTAGGCTGCTCTCAGTGGTACCAGGTGACAGAACGTGGAGTAATGGTCTCAAGTTGCAGTGGGGGAGGTCTAGGTTGGATATTAGGAAACGCTATTTCACTAGGAAGGTGGTGAAGCACTGGAATGGGTTACCTAGGGAGGTGGTGGAATCTCCCTCCTTAAAGGTTTTTAAGGCCCGGCTTGACAAAGCCCTGGCTGGGATGATTTAGTTGGGGTTGGTCCTGCTTTGAGCAGGGGATTGGACTAGATGACCTCCTGAGGTCCCTTCCAACCCTAATCTTCTATGATTCTAAGTCTGCCTAGATGTCTTGAGAGGTCCACAACTTTCTCAACCAGCCTGTAATTCACCATGCAGTTCTCCCAATCACTACAAACCCAACTCTCTATACTTCTAATATTCTCAAAGTAGGTTATAGACCAGGGGTGGGCAAACTACAGCCGTGAGGGCTTGGATCCAGCCCACGGGATTGCCACCCCTGTAGCAACGCAGGCACCTCGCCACTCCCAGAAGCGGCCGGCACCACGTCCCTGTGGCCACTGGGGAAGGGAGGGCAGAGGGCTCCGTGCGTTGCCCTCGCCTGCAGGTACTGCCCCCCACAGCTCCCATTGGCCAGGAACCGGGAACTGCGGCCAATGGGAGCTTTGGGGTGGTACCCACAGGCGAGGGCAGAGCACTGAGCCCTCTGCCCTCCCTCCCCCAGCGGCCGCAGGGACGCGGTGCTAGCCGCTTCCGGGAGCGGCGCAGTGCTAGGGCAGGGAGCGTGCCCTGGCCCCGGTGCGTGCCGCTGCCACCCTGGAGCAGCTCCCGGTAAGCGGCACCGGGCCAGAGCCTGCACCCCTCCTGCACCCCACACCTCAACTCCCTGCCCTGAGCCCCCGCCGCACTCTGCCCACACCCCTCCTGCACCCCAACCCCTTGCCCTGAGCCCCCTCCCACACCGCAACCCCCTTTCCTGAGCCCCCTTGTACACCCTGCACACCACCTCTGCCCCAACCCCTTGCCCTGAGCCCCTTCCTGCACACCGCACCCCCTCCGACACCTCAACCCCCTGACCCAGCCCTACATTCGTGGGCCTGCATGCAATTTTCCTACCCACCCATTATAGACTATATGGAATAAATACACACATACACTGCATATACACATAGGGCTCACTACACCCACTCTCAGTATGTTGTCATCTGCAGACTGGAAATGGCCATCATTTTGTAGCAGCAATACAAACAACTATTTTTTTTAAAAGAAGGTGAAGAATAACTTCTATTGAAACTACAGAAAAATTTAGAGTGCATAAGACCAGTTGAAATTTGAGAAAAACATTGGTTAGCAATCTTAGTCCTAGAGCTGGTTAAATAATGAAAATAACTTCCATTTCCCACCAAAAATTCAACCTTTTTGGAAATTTTCTGACCAGCTCTGACTATACCTATGAATAGCGTGAGGGAAATATTTAAAAACTTTCTTGCTAAAAAAATTTAAAAAAAAATCTGAAATACAGTGCCCTAAGACATGACATGGGGGTGTTATGTTACTGAATAAAAGAATCACCAACATGTGTCTTAAAGTAGTCATCTTCCGGTCAAGTATTGACCAACCCCAACTCCTGCTTAGCTTATGAAGTATAACAAGAATCACAAACCTAGCAGAAATGGACACAGGAATGTTGATCCCAAAAGGACAAACGTGCACAGTGGCTGAAACCCTTCATGATGGACACACAATTTCTTTTAAAAAATTATTTTGGTTTGCAATTAGCAATTCTTGAATCATTTCAGATATTAAATTTCACAGTAAAATGTGAAGGCAATGTTGATGTAAAGAAAATAAAAATGTATTTCTGTCAAGGAATTGTTCACTACCTTTGGTCTGTTTTCTAGTTTTTTATATTGGAAATGCATGAGTGAAGAACAGTTAATATGTTCAAATGTAAGCACATTGCACCAGCATTTAAAAAAAAACATTCAATGAAAGTGTAAAATTTTTATTTGAGTGAGAAGCCAGGGATACCAGAATGAGAAACCAGCGGTATTAGCATTCAAAATGTATAAATCCTAATATTGCATTTATCAACCTTAATTTTAAGCAGAGAAAATGAAGGGTTAATTTATATATAGCCCTTTTACTACAAAACAATTTTTGTTGGCCAGGGCCCAAGTAGCACAAACTTATCATTGCTCTGCATCACATTGCCCAATCACTCCTGGATTAGCCTTTATTTACCACTCTTACATGTAAAGAGCACTAAAAATTCCTTCTTTTGTGAATGTAGGACTATAATAGGTTGCCAAAAAAATATGAGGTGTGGTTCTATGCAAACTCTGTCAAAAGTGTACTCTCTTACATAAGTCTGATCCTGCGTTTGTTCAGTCTTGTTTATCAACTGCAATCACATACATTAGTTTTTAATGCTTTTTATACTTGCAGAGCATGCTGGATTCTGCCTCTGTCCCTCAGAAGTGCTTTTTGGCTTCCACTGTCGCATGCAGCGGTGTTGTAGCCCCAGGATACCAGAGACACAAGGTGGGGATGGGGAGGTAATATCTTTTATTGGACCAACTTCTGTTGGGGAGAGAGACAATCCCAACCAGACCTGAAGAGCTGGTGTAGTAAGCTCAAAAGCGTCTCTCTCCCCAACAGAAGTTGGTCCAATAAAAGACACTTCCTCACGAGGGCCGGTGGAAGGATGTTTCGCGCCCTAGGCGAAACTTCCACCTTGTGCCCCCCCCCCCGTCCCCTCGAGCCCCTGCCCTGAGGCGCCCACGGCAGCTATCCCCCTCTGCCCTGAGGCACCCCCCCACCCCCCGCTCACCCCTGCCCTGCCTCCTCCCCGAGCACGCCGTCGCTGCTTCACTTCTCCCGCCTCCCAGGCTTGTGGCGCCTAAGCTGATTGGTGCCTAAGCTGCAAGCCTGGGAGGCGGGAGAAGTGAAGCAGCTCACCCCTGCTCCGCCTCCTCCCCGAGCACGCCATGGCTGCTTCACTTCTCCCACCTCCCAGGCTTGTGGCGCCAATCAGCTTAGGCTCCGCAAGCATGGGGGGTGGGAGAAGTGAAGCAGCCATGGCGTGCTCGGGGAGGACGCGGGGCAGGGGTGAGCTGGGGCAGGGAGTTCCCCTGCGTGCTGCCCCCCCCCCTTGCTGCAGGCGGCCCTCCCCGCGCTCCACTGCCCCAGCTCCCTCCGCATAAATGCCAGCGGCGACCGGGGCGGCCGAAGATCTAGCCGCTGCGGTTGCTGCCGAAGAAAATGGCGCCCCCCAAATCCTAGTGGTCGCCTAAATGGTTGCACCGGCCCTGTTCCTCACCCACCTTGTCTATCTATTGCAAGGACGGCCAAACTTAGTGGCCCTCTGAGCTACATACAACTGTCTTCAGAAGCTCAAGAGCCAGGGCACACCTGCCAGAGCTTGGGGATTCAGCCCATGGGAAGTGCCTGCCAGGGCTCAGGGCTTCAGTCCCTCGGGAGGCACCTGATGGGGTTTGGGGCTTCAGCCCCACTCCTGCTGAAGCCCCGAGTCCTGGCACGTGCACCCAAGGGGGCTGAAGCCCCGTGACCCTCCTCGCCTCTGGGCAGAAGCCCCTACTTCACAACCAGGCAGAGGTCCTGAGCTCCCCCACCCCCAGTCTAGTAGATGGAAAATGGGGGGGGGGTCATTGGGGAGTTCTGCAAGCCACACTTTAGAGGTAAAAGAAACGCATGTGGCTTCCGAGGCTCTTCCAGTCACTTACATCTGTACAAACCCACTACAGACAATGGGCAGTACAGACACCAGCTAACAGCACCAATTGGTCACCAGAATCTTATTGTTGGAGATTGTGCAAGAGGGTGCAGGGCTAAAACACAGAGGTAGGAGGGTCAGAATCTTTTTAGCTGCACATTAAACACCTCTACGCTCTAATACAGAAATTATTGAAATACACATGTGGAAACCTGTGCGGTTGTGAATCACCTTGCAAAACAGAACAAGCTAGCTAGTTAGCTAACCCCTCCCCGCTTTCCCCCCATCACAGCAGCTTCTCCTCACTCCAACCCTTGGGTGAGCAGGGAGCCACTGGGCTTTAGTTCCGTATTTCAGGGCAGAGAGGAGGAGAATAGCTGCAGTTCAGCTACAGCTGGGAAGAGAAACTGGTGTCCCCACTAAAAGGAGCAGGCAGGTTTCAGATCGCTTCGCCTGTTTTTCCAGCTCTGGGAGGCAGAAGCTCTTACCTGTGGGTGGAGACGGGAGAGAGCTGGTCCCTCGCTTCAGCTTGGTTGGGAGAGAGCCAGCCCCTGGCAGCTGCCTCCCAGGAGACACGAGCTAGCCCGGGGATGCTGCTCTCTGGGGTGCGCGGCAGGCACTGCTGGGAGGGGAGACGGGGCGGCCGGGGCACGCCCCAGCCTGGCCGCGCTCGGGGATGGGGGTGAAAGCCGAGCGCTCTGTGGGGAGCTGGGAACACATGCGGGGAGCCTGCCCCTGCCCCTGCTCCCGCCTGCCAGCCCTTCCCCCGCCGCCTTTGGCGCCCCCCGAGGCGGCAGCGGGGTAACCCGGGCGCCACCACGGAGACTGGGGCCAGGCACCAAGTCCCGCTGCGCGGACACCGGAGCCTTGGGAGCGGGCTGCAAGTAGTGAGGGAGCGGCTGGGCGGTGCCCTTGCGACCAGCGCGCTATGCCGCAGCCGCATGCGGGCGCGGTGTCTGCTGACCCCGCCCGAGAGCCCGGCTGCTCCTCCCTCCCACGCCTGAGCAGCAGCAGGTGCAGCCCCTTCCCCACCGTGCTACACCGCAGCCCGCCGCCGGCCGGTTTGCAGCCACTTGGTGCAGAGGGGACAAGCCCCGCTCTGCTGCTGCCCGAGGCGGGAAGCGTAGCTAAGGCACCGTAGGGAGAAATCGCTCGAATTTGAGATTTAAAACACTTTAAATCGCCGCGATTTGGGATTTCAGCCAGGAGGCCGCGTGGTTGCTAGGGCCGGTCGTTACACCGGCCCTAACCTTGCGTCAGGCAGCAGCAGGAAAAACAAGCCCGGGCAGAGAATTTAGGGTTTGATTGAATACACAGTTGACATCTCCGCCCACGTGTCTTTCCAGGCACACGTGCAGGAAGGTATGTCACGCACTAGTACAAATACGATTTATCAGACAGAGCAGATAAGTATTTTGGCTCCAGGCTCATTGAAGTAATTTTCCTTTCACTGTACAGTACTGGCTTATAAGTAGCAGTTTCTCACAGCGCACCTCTGTCTCGCCCCTGAAAATGCCTTGGGATCACAGCCTTTACTGGAAGTTGCGTGTAAAGCCTGCTTGGCAGACCCTGGCTTCTAACTCCTCTATTGAATTACATTAAAGGAGAGAAGTCTCTTTTGAACATTACTACAGTACCTTTTAAGGGGACTCATTAATACTGTCTAGCAGTTGTGTTGCCGGCACCGAGTGCCCGAGGAAAGCAACAGTGGGGTTCATTGCCCGGTGTGCTTCGCACCAATGAACACACCAGGGTGAAGAAGCAAACCAAGTTTATTTGAGATCTCAAAGTGGTGCAAGGAGACTGGTACGTCTCAGATCAAGCACACTATCATAAGCAGCTTTTCTCTTTTTATACATTTTGCAGCTAAGCTCTTCCCTTTCCTCCCCCATCCCTCCTCCTATAATAGTTACATTAAGCAGGTAGCAATTACATTTAAGCAGTTAAATCATCTTGGCGGCTATAAGTCCAGCTTGTTAGTAACTTTTTTTAAATTATCTTGTCCCTTTTTTTTTATTTGTTATTTTGCTTTTCAGCCAGTAGTATGCAGGCCTTATTATTACCGCTTGGTGCTGCACCTGATAACAGGCTGTTACACATTCCAATTTCTGCATCTGGCTTTTGAGGTCAATTAGAGTTTAAACATGGAGGAACTTTGGTTCATTTAGGCCTAGTGCAGGAAGGCTTCATCAACACTTGTGTCTTCCACCCTCCTGAGTTACCTAGGGTTATGCCTACTGACACCAACACTTGGATTTGTAGATGTCAGAAAAAAAATGAAATCTAAGATCCCAAAAACTGAATGGAGTCTTTATGGCCAAGTCCCTACAGCACTGACCATTTTATCAAAGTTATCAAATAATACAGGTACTGTACATACCAGTTTTAACCACCACCGTCTATTGCTTATTTAGTCCATCCTACAATTCGGCTGATATTCCTCACGTCTAGACAACAGAATTTTTCAATATTAATGCAGTTTAGCCTCACTTAGAAGAATATCAGTTATCCCTAATTCCATTATCCCACGCCACATTATCCCCAAATATGTACCTTGTTGAAATTTAAAGGGACTATAGCAACATGAGTGTAGCATTTCACACCCAAAAGTGTCCCTGGCTCACCATTCTTACTCTCTTAAGCTTGTCTTTTGTCCAACACTGAATGAACAGGAAAGTAACTAGAATATGAGACATTCACATTTAAACATTTATAACTCCATCCCCACAATATTTGAGCATGACATTACTTTTAAGTATTTAGGTTTTGTTTGTTGTTTTGTCAGGAAGGTGTTAGTTAATGTCAAAGGAACTACAGAGATGTTTCCTGCCCTGCCACTCAGAGGGAGCGTTTCCACCTGGGCTGAGAGTAGAGGCAGTCCAATTTATGACATTCAACTTACAACAAACAGCACTTAAATTTCGGAATTGACATCCTAATTCGACTTACGACGTTTCTTTCTAGTTTAACGCTCGGTCCCGCAATGGGGTGGATTGCGGTTCCGAGTTATGACCTTTTGACTTGCGACACAATTTTCAGGAATCTATTGTGTCGTAAGTCCGAGGACTGCCTATACATACTTAGAACTGAAGATGAAGCAGGTGAAGCCAGCCAGAGAGAAAGCAGAGTGAATTGCTCTTCTGTCTGAGCAAAAAAGGCGGTCTTGGATTTTGACACAGGCCTGCAGAAAAGCATTTGTGATCCTTAGGCAGGAACTAAGGCTATGTCTACACTGCATACCTTACAGCGGCGGTGTGTCACTGTAAGGTATGCCGTGTAGCCACTCTTTGGCAGTAGGAGAAAGCTCTCCTGCTGACAAAATAAAACCACCCTCAACCAGGGGGCGCTTTTTGTCAGTAAAACTTTTGTCGGTCAGGGGTGTGTTTTTTTCCACACCCTGACCAACAAAAGTTTTACCAGCCAAAGTGCAGTTTAGACATAGCCTTAGGTGAATTTTACATTGGACATTGTTTCTACTGTTTTTATCACAAGTCCTTGAGAGGACACAGTAGAAAGTAGTCAGACCAGTCTGTGGTAAGTGGACAATTCTACTGTAGGATACTACCCCGGAAGTGGTGTTTACTTTGGTAGGAGAGCCAGCCACAGACATGGGGAAAGGCCTTGGAAATCTCTGTGAATCATGAAGGAAACAAAAGGGGCTGCAGAAAAGACACTGGGACAAAATAAAGCCAGTAGCCTTCAAAGGAATCCGAGAGGGTTCAGGAGTCAGACTGGACTTCTGCTTTCTTTTCAGATTCCATAACTAGACCCACACACCCCTCCCCAGAGAGGCTGAATGAAAATTCCTACCCAGCTGTCACTGTAGTAGCTGCCTTACAGAAGGGACTGGAAAATGAGGCAGTCTGACAGGCTAACAAGGACACTGTTCCAAGAATAGCCTGTGGTCTTGAAAAGCACTGGAACTTGAGTGGTAGGAGACCAAAGGCACAGTAAGACAGGAGTTGAAGGAATGTAGTACAGACAGAAAGAATGATTATGTGAAGACACGCATGACATTGCATAACAATAAAAACTAAGTGCAAGACTATATAAATGTATTGCTTAGGCTGTCAGTTTAAACACAAAAATAGGATAGTTCCCATGTCTTCTGCATGATTATATTTATACACCATCGACTCAGTTCACTATTGGGAGAAGCAAATGCTACCCTTGACTTCTGCCAACAAGTTCAATCTTCTGCGTTGTCATGTATTTTGACCAAATTTTGAAAGCTTTCCAAAACTGGAAGTTATACATTAAAATCTAGTGGATGGTACAAAGAAAAATAAATTCAATATAAAACTTTAATAGGACAAAATATACCACGGTAGTTTCTGATGCATCTTTTATGATACAATACATATTCAAATTTAAAATACCTAGCTTATCCCGCACTTTTCCTCAGTAGATCTCCAAGCACTTTACAAAAGAGGCAAGTATTATTGCCATTTGACTCTTTGGGAAACTGAGGCACAGAGAGGTGAAGTGACTTGCCCACATTCACTCAGTAGGCCAGTGGCAGAACTGGAAATAGAACCCAGAAAAACAAGTGTTGCCCATATCACCACTTGCAATTACTTGATTCACCATCATCATCATCATATTAGTCAAAACGAAGGGTTAATGCTTTGTAAAGAAATTAACCCTTCAAGAGGTGCAAGTTTACCCATTTTTTCTAAAGTAGGTCAACAATAAAGCTTGGCATCTTCTTCAGAATTGGTATCCTGATCCTTGACAAAATATAGTTAATGGACAGTTTTAAAGCAAGGAATGTCAGAATGATCATACTGTAATCAGTATATGAAAATATTTAACTCAAGCCTGAGTAATTTATAGATTTTCATGGAAATATTTGAGCATCAATTCAAGAAAATTCAGAGATCAGGGGTTTTCAAAACATCTGTCTGACAATGTGTACACAGTCCATTTTTAGTAGTCAAGCAACAAGACTCCAAAATTGCACACAACATTAAATCTAATGACTTAAAATGTAAATCTAGATATACAATATGTAAAATGTGGGCAATTTAATATTGCCGTGGGAAAATTAACTTCTGTATCTCCTTATTCTTTAAATGTACAACCTTAATGCTATGTTAACAGGTTTTTGGAGGGCAGGAAGGTTCCCCTCAAAAACAAAGGAGAGAGAAAATCCTAGCTGCTCCACTTTGGAATGTGTACTAGGACATTTGTACAGCTCCACAGATTTCAAACTACACTACTATCTACATACAAAAACTCAAGTGTAGCACAATAGTTCAGCAATTACGTTGTGTACATGATGAATTAAAAACAGCCAGTTACAAATGACACTAATATTTGGCCAATTGAGTTGACAGTGTGCAAAAAATCTGATTTTTGTTCGGAGTGGGATAATGTACATGTATACTTATCAGTTAACTCAATCATCTGAATAGATTTTCCTTAAACATTAAAAAATGCAAAGAGCAAACATTATAAGCTTCAGCCCCAAGAGGATTTTTTTGAAGTTAAGATTGAAAACATTGGTTTATAATAAAAATGTTTCTCGCCTTACAGAATCAGCTACTGCAAGAGTTGCTCTAGAAAGGAACGCTGAAAAAAGGTTCAATTCTTTAACGGGCCCTTCTTGTCTTAGGTCTCCCTCTCACCTCTCCCCTTGGACGATACCACATGATGTAATATAAGGATTCTTCTTGTAGTGGATTGAATAAGTCCATAATTAATAGATTGCAACACATGAACGAACTAGAGTTTTAATTGTTTCATTCAAAACTACAGTTTTCCAGACCTAAACCCATCATATAAAAGTCAGGATATAACAACACTATTTCCTTCATTGTCATGCTTTTTCTATTTAGAACAAAATATGTCTTTAAAAGTGCAAAAAATGCTTTTTGTTTTCCTTACAAAAAGTGTATTTCTTCAAGAAGTCCTGCAGTTCTTGTTACAGGCCACTGCAACATTAAAACAATGCTTCAGAGTGTTCTGTTGATCTGCTCAGGGGAATGGATGATCAGTTTTTCAAATCTGTCCATGATGATGTTGTGGAGTCTTTAATCCTGTAAGCCTCCAAATGAGATGGCCAGTGTATAACACATATGGGTATCCTACAACGAACCATTTAAAAAGCAGTTGAAGTGAGCTGCTCACAGCTGTTAAAACTGAACTTGGGTGTCATCTTTCTAACGTTCTTGTATGTGGAGAATTAAAGGCTGTTTGTAGTAACTGTAGTTCTGAAGGAGAGACAGTTTGTCTGGGTGGCATTTGGTATCGTACATTTTTCCAGAATTTTGTACTTGCTGAATAAGATTTCTCTGTGAATTCCCCTTTCCATCTGATGACCCCATGCTTTTGCTTAATATATTTGATCGATTCTGGCATGTTCGTATAGTCCTTTATTTTATCCAGTTCAATTAGAATAACTTTAATTCCATCACGGATAAGAGCATTGTACACAGCCAGTTGCTGTTCAGAGATATCTTCTAACACACTATAACAGGATGATTCTGGTACTAACACAATTATCACTCTTCTGCTTTGGCTGATTTTTTCATCAGTGACATTGACCACAGCTGTAAACAAAGAAAAGCAGAGAAAGGTTTTTTTTACTCCTGCAAAAGCTTATACATTGTTTGTTACTTTCATTTTGTGGCTGTTTAGTTTTCAGAAACAAAGATGTCTTACTTGTCTCCTTATGCCATATTATTCATTGATATTACACCTGTAGCTGTAAAAAGTTGGCATTGTTTAAAAAAAAATTAATTCCATACGTATCTTTAGATAAAGCTACCAAATGTCATTAATATATTAATACATGTAACAGGATTGCTTGCCCCTGTGTTATAGAGCCTGTGGCTAAGCCAGCCCTGATTCCAGGACAAGCCACACCTGAGTTGAATCAAGTGATCCGAGGGTAAAAGGCATCAGGAAGCTGCAGGGAAGGGGCTCCTGCAGAGGGAAGCTATGGGGGGACGGGGGGGTCTCCTGCAGTGGTCCCTGAGGAAGGCACATTTCCTGAGGGAAGAGGGGCTGTTCTCAGCTAAGCCGGGGGGGAGATTGTATTGTGATTGTTCTAAGAACTTTGATAATTTAATAAAAAGGCCCAGACCCAAGAAGGGCTGTGATTGAACAAGACTGCACGGAGTTTGCTTAAGGAGCCCTGAAGAAGAGGAAAACCAGGGCAGGACGCTGCAGAGGCACCCGCTGGCCACGAAAGGGTGGTTGGGTGGCAGCTGGCCCTGGTACACTGAGGCCTTGGCTACACTTGCAAGTTACAGCGCTGTAAAGCCTCCCCCAGCGCTGTAACTCACTCCCCGTCCACACTGGCAGGGCACTTACAGCGCTGTATCTCCCTAAGTACACCGCTGCAGGTACTCCACATCTCCGAGAGGAATAACAGCTGCAGCGGAGTGGCTATGACTCACAGGTGTGAGTGTAAACACTTGCAGCGCTGTACTAATCACCTTGTCAAGTGGCCAGTCCTCTCCATTGTTGTGACCGGCTGCAGGAATGCAGAAGTGCCGGTTTCAAAGCTCGTACCACAGAGAAAAGCAAACAGTTTGCAGCTTGCTTTGAGCGAGTAAATGAACGAGCAGGGGGCCGGGAGTTCGGAACTTGCAAAATAGAGAGCTGACATGCTCCAAAAAGCAGTCTCTCTCCCCCCACACTCCCTGTCACAATCCACCCCACCCCCCCGTTTTGAAAAGCACGTTGCAGCCACATGAATGCTGGGATAGTTGCCCATAATGCACCGCTCCCAACACAGCTGCAAATGTTACAAGTGTGGCCACACCACTGCGCTGTCAGCTGTCAGTGTGAACAGACTGCAGCGCTTTTCCCTACTCAGCTGTACGAAGACAGGTTTACCTCACAGCGCTGTACAGCTGCAAGTGTAGCCAAGGCCTAAGTATGTTGCAACCAGACCACCAGGAATAAGTATCAGTGTGAAAAAAAAAATTCCTATGAAAACTAAAGCAAAAATACTCTGAGCCTTAAACTGTGCCCTGCAGACTGCTCAAGGAAGAAAATTTCAAACAGGAGGACCCCCACCCATGAGAAGGCCTGCTAACATGAATAGAAAGTCCTAGGAAATGACAGCAAAAGCATACCAGCCAATCTTAGGCCTGGCCTACACTACAGAGTTTTGTTAACGTACAGCAGCTTGTGTCGACCTGACTGTGTAAGTGTCTATACTACAATGTTGCTCCCGCTGATGTAAGTCACAGGCTATACTGACCTAATAACTCCACCTCCATGAAAGGCATAGCACGTAGGTCGATGTAGTTAGAGTGACACTGCGTTACTTACATCAACTGTTGGCTGTCAACCCTACATGGGGCTCACAGCTGGGGCCCGACAGCCCCCACACTGCCCTACTTATGTCAGTGCAAGCGCTTCCGCTGAGGATGCGCAACACTGGCAGAAAGAGGGTAGCGTGGACATGAAACACCGCTGTAATTACTGCAGTGGCTCTACAGCGACCTAATTTACATCAACTTAACTCTGTGGTGTAGACAAGGCATTAGCCACAGAGACCTAGTGTAGGACAAGCAATATAAATATTAATTCTAGTAAAAATAACTTATCTGCATTATTTATTCAGAAATATGAATGCCTTCTGCTAAAATTCCATCTTAAGACAAAAGTATGTGTAACCCACACACCTCCTGGGTATGGTGTTCTGTCCCCTCTAGTGGCACCAAGACCACTGAGAGAAAGAGATTAATGAATCTGCTCTACAGCCTTAGCTAAGAGACACTTGGCTTTTAGCTCATGCATTAGAGGCTCACGCATAAAGCTCCAGACGTCCCAGGTTCGATCCCGCCCACCGACGACCAGGGTCTGTCAGTGTTACACATGTTCATATAGAAAAGCTTGCTTTTACAATACTAAGCACATATTGGTTAGTTTGACATAAACTTCCAATAGAAACTTATTTGGTTAAACAATTTGGAAAAAACAGACCAATTTTTAAGCTCGGTTTTACTGATTATTTTATAGTGCATAAGTACAGCTGAAAGCTGATACAAGACCATACACAAATAACTCAGTGTTATCCCCACCTTCTCCTCAGGAAAGCAATCAGTGAAAGATCCTTCCTCAATTTCAGTACCAAATGTTAGAATCTTAGTTTCAGCAATATACGGCAAAAAGAAACATTCCCTCAGGAATGTTTTAAAGGCACTTGAAGAACATATTGTTCTGCTCATATTTGGATTAGAGTCAGGCATTTTCTCATCTCTTACTGATCTTTTCTGATACTGGACACAAAAGAGTTGCTTTGTAATAATTTTTATTTTAAGTTGCACCATTTTGCCACACTTAAGCACCTGCTCCCCCCTCATTGCCAGAGGAGTCATTCAGATTTTATTTGCTCTTCATGGGCAGTTGTCAGAGTGGAAAAGTAAAGAGGTACATTTGCCGGAGGTGAAATGACACTCTAGAGTGACTGCCATGCCAATAGCACTTCTCTCCCTTCACAAGTGCTGCTCTGCCATTGTCCCTGACCCTGTGAACAAGGAAGGCTGTTACCAGTCCTCTCCCTCTGATCAGCACACCAGTCCCAGCTGCTTAAACTACCTACATATTAAAGGAAGAACTAGGAGCTGATCGAAGGAAATGCTGTGAGGCAGACAGGGCTTTATGGGAACCCCAAGCACAGTACTTCCACATTACCCATGGGATTACACAGGAGGGAGAAATAGGGATAAGAGACTGCCCACGCCAGGGGTCGTCACCAAGGTAAGCACCCTGGCGGGCCAGGCCAGTTTGTTTACCTGCCATGTCCACAGGTTTGGCCGATCGCGGCTCCTACTGGCCGCGGTTCACAGTCCCAGGCCAATGGGGGCTGTGGGAAGTGGCGCAGGCTGAGAGATGTGCTGGCCGCCGATTTCCGCCACCCCCATTGGCCTGGGACAGGGAACCGCGGCCAGTGGGAGCCGCGATCAGCCAAACCTACGGACGCGGAAGTAAACAAATCGGCCTGGCCCGCCAGGGTGCTTACCCTGGCGAGCTGTGTGCCAAAGGTTGCCGACCCCTGGCCTACGCTAACCAGGATGCCTGGGGCACACAAGTTTGCTTATGTCTATTTTGAGGATCATTGCAGCTCACCTTTGAGACTGGTGAGAGAAAATATAGAAATTCCGATAAAAAAAAATATAGATCTTACCTTGTCCTGGTAAATCATCCCTTCCAAATATAAAGAGATTGTATCCACATTGTCTCTCTAAGACCTCAGGTAATATCTTTAGTGCAAAGATATCTGGTGAGTAGAGGCAGCTTACTCTGTTTTTTGGATACAGCACATATGCATCATAGATCTTCCCATCTGAAATTAAACAAAGTGAGCAAAATGATTAAGACCAAAAAGCATATTTAATAAAAAAGTAAACTATAGTTTTCCCCCACACAACACTGCCATGGGCACGAATCCTGTAATTAAAGTTACTGTAGTGTGAGTAATTATACTTATGGAAGTAATAGTTTTACACATAGATCTTTAGACTTTCATATTCAAAGGTGTAAAATTGATTACCTTTGAACAGTCTTTGCTCTACACTAAATAAAAAAAGCAATATCACCAAATTATCTGTTTCAAGTACAGCATATTATTTAAGTTCCAAGTTACTCATAACTGGTGTTTACTGCTTATGACCTGAATTAAAAAAAAACAAAAACAAAAAAACAACCACACAATATTCAGAACGATCAGGAGTGTTATGATTTATCTGGAACAAAATGTCCAGTAAGGCCTGATTTAATAAACTTTATACAACTCCAGTAATTACCTCAATGCAGTTATTAAATACATTTTACTTCTCTCGTGGTACATCTCCTCATGATTGATCTAAATTCCAGTATTCTGCTCTCTCATGTATGGGATTCCCATTGCTAATGCAAATTCCAGGAACATAAGAGAGAGCCGAATATCAGACCAAAATACAGATCTGAGAAAAATTGTCTTTAAAAAAAATAGGTAGATGCTTAGGATTTTTCTCTGCACTCTTTTACAAAAATGCACTTTCATATGATTAATTACTGTTTGGCAGAGTACTAATAAAAGAAAAGGTAGTTCTATAGCTTGAGTAGATGTTACAAGTGGAGAATACTTCTGTCAGCCATTTTAAGGCAAACAGCAATACAGTACATCAACCAGTCAGCAAACTGCTACCAAATATACAAGTCAATCACTGCCATTTTAGAAATCTGAAGCACTTTACATAATCTAAATCAGAAAATATGCTAATAGTTTTCATGATACATCTCAAAAATGTAAGGGCGCCCACTTTGGGGGAACTCCAAATGGAATCACTCTCACTCCAGGATAATTTCCTGAATGCATTCCCAACTAGATTTTAAATTCTGTAATTTTTTTCTTAAGAAAACACATACCTTCTTTACTCAGAAAAGGATGGCAGGAGTTCCGATACCAAAGCACAATGTCAATCTTGAGTAGCTTGCAGACAAACACAGCAACAACTATTACAAATACCAGTGAAACAAGTCCTCCAATCAAGTAACCCTGAATGTTTGAAGCTGTATTAGCAAAGGGGCGGGGGGAGGGGGGAGAGGGAGAAAGATACATTGTAACTGCAGCATGTGTCAAACAAGAAACATTCAAAACATTTTCTACAATCCAACAATTTGGTCTCTTAAAACCAGCTTCTTATTTAAGGATTCAAATCATGCAATCAGCAAACAAGAAAAGACTAAAGATTCTTCCTGTATGGTTTCAAGAGGAAACTGTTATTGGCCAGCCTGCTAGTAAACCCAGAATGTATGCCATCCTGTCTCAACAGAGGACATCTTGAAGTCAAAAATGTTACCGCACAAATGCAAAGAAATTGTATTTTCCAACCAGAAAAGAAATGCTGATGTTTATTCTGACAAGACAACTGACTCAAAATTCTCATACAAGTTTGATTTAGGACTTGTCAACACAAATATTCATTTTGCAGCAAGTTGGGGTGTGAATCTACCCCACAGTAGCCGGTTGCAGATTAACTGTGTAGTTCTCTTTGAAATGGAACTAACTCAATGCCCCTCTAACCAACTGTGAATGTGCATCAGGAGGGTGCACCTGGACAATTAATCCATTGTATGCTAGTGAGAAGTAGATTCACAGCCTAACTTGTCATGAACTAAATCTTTGTGTAGACAAGCCTTTGTTAAAAAGTGGCACACGGTTGTAGAAAAAAGTAAGTAGTAAGACAATCCCACAAGAAGACAAAGAAAAGTGAACACATAAATGTGTTCTTGTTACACCATATGCTCTCTGGAACTGGAGCAGGAATGGTCAGGTACTAAATGACTGTCCTGCGTCTAGCACAGTGGGTGACCAATCTGATAGAGGTTTCTAAGTGCTAATGCTGTATAAGCAGCAACAACAGAAAATTCCCAATTACTAGAGTGGGAGTTGTTAGCACTCAGCACTGCGGAAAATAGCCCAGGTTTATTTAAGTGACTAAATATGGTTTTAAGAGCACAACTTTAGGCACCCAAACTTTGATAGTTTGGGATATTAACAGAATGAGACCAGCCACAAGTAGTAATTTTGTAGTATGAACTATATTGTAGGAGGATTGCGTTGTCTCACTTTAGTGCAGTCTGTGTTCTGTGGTTACATTAATGGAGGATTATGATTCACAGAAAAAGTCCCAAAGAGATGCAATATCTCTGTAGTCTCTATTCTGATGAATGAAGTTGCATCCATTGTGGAATGCAAGTTTGCCTTTTGTACTCAAAAACTGCTTTGGGCTTTGCTTTAAAGTAGTGTTTTTAAGTCTTATAGGCTTCCCCACTCTGCTATACATTTATAAACTCTAGCTCCCTCTTCCATTTATGGCACACTAAGCCAGTGGTTCTCAACCAGGGGTACGCAGAGTTCTTCCAGGGGGTACATCAGCTCATCTAGATATTGTCTACTTTTACAACAGGCTACATGAAAAACACCAGTGAAGTCAATACAAACTAAAATGTTATACGACGACTTGTTTACACTGCTCTATATACTACATCAGTGTGCCTCAACCTGGCAATCATGATTTATTTTATAATTATATGGTAAAAATGAGAAAGGAGAAGCAATTTTTCAGTAATAGCGTGCTGTGACACCTGTATATTTTTATGTCTGATTTTGTAAGCAAGTAGTTTTTAAGAGACTTTGGTACACAAGACAAATCAAACTTCTGAAAGGGGTACAGTAGTCTGGAAAGGTTGAGAACCACTGGACTAAGCTATTGGTTGTCATTACAGTCACCTCGACAAAAAGGGTTTATGAGAAGTGTACTAGCAAGAGACAGAGCACTATGGTACTCTATGCCTCTCCTTTAGAACGATTATATAGCACCTGTCTTCCAAACATTAACCAATTAATCCTCAGAACTTCTCTCTGTGGTAAACAAGATCTTAAGATAAAAATAACCTCCAAAACAGATTTCTCTGGGTTAACTAGGCTTAAATGTAAGCCATTGTTTATTAACCTTGTAGTAGACATTGGCTGAATTATCAAGGTACATCTTGCAATAGGCAGTAGTTTTGATTTCAATATCTTATTACTTTTCAGGTGAGGTTTGAGAATTAATTCTATTTTAAAGTAGACTGGCCTCAAATTCTGCTTAAATAAACTTGAGAGACTTAATTTGAATTTTTCTCTCTTATATTAAAGTTACCTGAACTCCCATATATGCACATTTGTACTCATATCAGCTTTTCAACTTTGAAAACTAGAAACAAATGTTAAATTTGTCAGCACATAAACTGCTTATCTGTTGAGTCACAATGAATTTGGCAATAGGGACTTTTTAATGTTTCACACATTCCACATTAAACAAAGCAAAATCTATACTCTAGGGCAAAAAACAGAGCATACAAAGGGGGAGTGGCGTGTGCATGGAATTCCTGCCTATCTGTTATGGAGTGATGAGGATAGAGGGAATCAAAGGAGCAGCAGCCACTGCTACATATATCCTCTCGTCCTCCTCCACACCTCAACAAAAAAGAGTAGAGATGCTGGGGTCATGGAGTTACTTCAAAAGTGAAGAATTAACCACAAAATTTGTGCCCAAATGCTCCTTTCTGGTTCCTCCGCCTTCAGTTAACAACAAGGTGAACAGAAGCATTATTGAAATAAGGCAATATGGTGTATAAAAGAAAGTAATTAACTGAGAAAATACTGTTTTAAAGGGGAAAAGGTGAATTTGAAAGAAGCTATTCAGGAGGAAGAGGGGGAATATGTTTTAAACAAATGTAAGAATTTAGGGGTAAATGCAACAAGGGCAGCTACAACTTAAGAGGAAGGAAGACAGCAAGAGTGCTAACTTGTAGTAGTTATCTACCATGTCTGGAATAAGCTAATTATAAGTTTGTTTTAATTTATTTTTTTACTGAAAAGTATTTCATTGGTATTTTCTGAAAGGCTGTTGAATTGAAATAGAGTCCAAAGTTTATTAAAACTGATAGTTTATTTAAATTTGGTAATAGAACGAATGTAGAATACTTTAGTTAACATACGTATACAATTGTAACATCCCAGTCACGTTCTGTTTAATGCAGAGCTGCTTTAGACAGTTATAGCCAATTATGGTTGATACCAGCTGAATCTTTAATAAACTGTTTCCTTTTCATTACATGATCAGGTTAGAATGGTAGTTATAAACTTATTTAATATCTTACCTGGGTCTTTTAGTACAATGTATGCTACAGCTTCGCCATAGGGATGCAAAACATAACAGAAAAACTTGTGAGAATAATCCTTACTTTTCACTTTTGAAATGTTGAATCTTGCTCCAATTATAAAACCACCTCCCGGGGAAGGTTTTCTATCATCACAATAAACAAAAACAAAAAAACCCATCAGCGGATAGAGAAATTATTATATATTAGAATTTCAATATGGACTAGGCAGACTTAACTGCAAATACAAGAAAGTTCACTTTTGTAGAGTTCAGGTCACTTGTGAGCAAACATTGATATTGGGAGTCAGGACTTTATAGTACAAAACCTAGTGTCAGCAAAATGAGGTACCAGAGCCAAGGGTTTGAAACTACACAGATGGAACAATGACATTACACAGGTTGAATTACTACCCACATTAGAACATTTAAGCTTCTGTAGGCATTGCTGTCAGGTACTGTGCCTCCATATTTTCAGTTCTGATACTTGTTGCTGGCCACTTTAAAAAATAGCTATTTTCCATACCAACTGAGCTTCGGTTAAAACTGATTTAGCTAACAACTATTATGGCTTTATAATTTAAAAGATAGATGAGGACAGGTTGCAAGCGGATTTAGTTGTATTGACATCCCATAAGAACAGTTACATTCCTTATAGTAGCCATGGGTCTTCAAGATGTTCTGTCCATATGGATGGTGCATGTATGCGTAGCTAGGTCTACACTACGGGGGGGGGGGGGTGTCGACCTAAGATACGCAACTTCAGCTACGTGAATAGCGTAGCTGAAGTTGTGTATTTTAGGTCGACTTACCTGGCTGTGAGGACGGCGGCGAGTCGGCCACTGCCGCTCCCCTGTCGACTCCGCTTCCGCCTCTCGCCGCAGTGGATTTCCAGAGTCGACGGCAGAGCCATCGGGGATCAATTTTATCACATCTACACTAGACACAATAAATCAATCCCCAATAGATTGATCGCTACCCGCCGATCCGGCGGGTAGTGAAGACGTGCCCTGTAAGTCAACAACCATCAACAGCCATTGTCCTGCCAGGGAGTTACAATCCAATGACTAACTTGCACAAGGCCACACCAGGGGAATTGCTCAATCTTGCCTGGGGACTCAGCAATGCCCACCAGACATGCCTGCACTTGTGTTCTCCAAGCACATGGGACTAAGGGTATAAAACAGACACAGTGACCCCATGCTTTGCCTTTTCTTCTCCCCCCACCTACACTGCAAGCAACAAGGACACTCAGAAGATTGAAGACCCCAACAGAGGAGACTGGCCCAGGTTTCAAGGATGAAACCTGTGTACTCTGAACTGCAATATCCAGTGGCATGAGAAAAACTGCTTAATCTAGATGTTGCCCAGTCTAATAGGGTTGAGAATGTAGGCTGCGTGCTTACATTTTATTTTATTTTAGTAACCACTCTATCTGCCTAATCACTTAAAATCTCTTTTGTAATCAATACACCTGTTTTACTGTTTACCTTTATCAGTGAGTTTGCCTGAAGCGGTTGGTAAATCTAATCAGATTTACAAAAGCTGGTGTATGTATATCCACTATCCATTGATGGAGTGGTGAACCAATTAATAAACTTGCATTTCTCAAGAAAGGATCTTGAGCACTGCAAGACAGTATATTCCTGAGGTACAAGGCTGGGAGATGGGAGGATTTGGCTGGTGCCTTTCTCTGTGAGATTCATGAGTGGCTCTTGGAGCATTCATGCAATCTAGCTGGGTATGTGGCTCCACATGCAGTTGTGCTGGGTGATAACAGCACCTGGAGGGGTTTGCTGCTTATCACTAGCAAAGAATTGTGAGATACAGCCCAGGGTAGAGAGTTAAGTGGGCAAATTTGTCCCACAGTCCCAGACTGAACCCCGGGGATCCTTCGGCGTCTGCTTGGACATAGAGCAGCAGGTGGAGTACCAATAAGATACATGACCTTCACCTAAATCAAAAAGGCACCTAAGAGGGCCCATCATTGAATGGCATAGAAGCATCACAGGAGAAGTATGTCAAACCCTGGAGATTTAGCTTCTGCCATAGTGGCTCAAGTCCTGGTATCAAAGAGAGAGAGGGGGTTCTGCACCTAACCATCTATCTACTGAAAAGAATTTTATTAAGCCAACAGGGACATTAAAAGGACTAGCTTAACAACTATATTAACTAATCACTAACACTAACTACAACAGAGTTGCAGAGAAGCAGCCTGACTCTGCACAAGTTCCATCTTGCTGCCATCGATGGCAAAAAGGAATTGAGGGATGGTTGGCCCCCTCCCACGGGTGAGGTAATGGAGCACGAGGATACCTAGGGAACAGGCGTAGTCCCAACTGAATTTGATTTGGCCAAATGAATCCAATTTTGTGTGCCTGCGCACCAAGAGTAGGATCCATGTGAACAATCACTTGAAAAAGAATACCTGCTTCTACCCTCCCCCAAAATCATTCTAGGTGGTTCATTCATCCAGCATTTTTGGCTTCTCAGTGGACAGGCATTCTGTCATGGTCCTGATGGATAGCTGGGAGACATGTTGGGAAGACTCCTGCGAGTTAACAGGATCAGCAACAGTTGGCAAATCATTCAAGCTTACACAAAGCTGACTACAGAGTCCGTTTATAGAAAGAAAAAAAAGTCAGCTAATATAGCCCATGCAAACAGTGTGGCTCTGTCCTCTAGTGGTTAGCACATGTTCAGAGGTTTCTGAATTTGCTGCTGCTGTTGAACTATGAAAACTGATTCTTCAGGTTAAGGAGTAAAGCTAATACTTTTAGACCACAGAGGTCTCTGGTTCAATCCCAGCTATCACCTCCAGAGGCACAGTGTTATACATGCAGCAGGAAAGTACATCTGGAGCTCATCCTTCAAAAGGGTGTAAGGAGGAAGCAATAAAGAGAATCAGGTAAGATAGGATTAGGACAAGAAATAGCAGAGAAATGATCAGGCCAAAATTTTCATACTGTAGTGCCTGAAATTAGACACCTAATATGTTTTTTTTGGAGATTCCCAGGTATCCAACAGCTCCAGCTGACTTCAAGGGAAACTGCAGGTATTCAACACCCCTGAAAATTAGCTCACCTAGAATCTATTTTTTTAGGCACCCAAGTTGAAAATTTTTGCTTAGGGCAAAAGTAACAATAATTAATTTACTCCTGATGCCTCAGTTATGAGTTATGTGGGACACTAAGGTTTAGAGGTAAGCAGGGAATGTTAGTTATTTTTGTAGCCTGTGAGACTATAATACAACAAAAATCACTCACCCTATAAATCTAAAGGCGTTTGGGGATAAAGTAAAACTAAAATTCAAGACAATTTTCCTGAGGAGCAGGTTGACATTTAATATTTTCAAAAATATAGTTAAATAAATAAAACAAAAAAGTGAATGTGCCAATCTTCTCTAAACAAGAAAATGTTTTATGAAATTTCAACTTGATTCAGTGGCACATTATGCAATTTGTGAACCTGGCCACCACATACATGCAGGCAGAGCAGCTGATCTTAAAAGAACTCAAGGAAACACCTATTGTATATATAATGAATTGTTCCTATACTAGCAAACTCTTTTTCCACTGGGGCTGGTTGAGATCAGCCTTTAATCTATGGATGAAGAGTGCTAAGTATTATCATGCTATTATGAATTTCCAAAATCTAGATAAGATGGCCTCAATAAATTACTTACAGAAAAAATAGATAATTATTAAATGCACGGCAAATTTGTTGAACATGAAGTACTTTCAGTAGTCTGTTGGCATTCATTAGGGAAGATTGAAAAAAAGTGGGTTTGTTTAGTCTGGAGAAGAGAAGACTGAGACGGGACACGATAACAGTTTTCAAATACATAAAAGGTTGTTACAAGGAGGAAGGAGAAAAATTGTTCTCATTAACCTCTGAGGACAGCAATGGGCTTAAATTGCAGCAAGGGAGGTTTAGGTTGGACATTAGGAAAAACTTCCCAACTGTCAGGGTGGTTAAGCACTGGAATAAATTGCCTAGGGAGATTGTGGAATCTACATCACTGGAGATTTTTAAGAGCAAGTTAGACAAACACTGTCAGGGATGGTCTAGATAATACTTAGTCCTGCCATGAGTACAGCAGACTGGACTAGATGACCTCTTGAGGTCCCTTCCAGTTCTACAATTCTATGATTAGCCACTATTTTGTCCAACAGTTACTTTTATGGATGTTTCACACCAAATATATTTTAAAATTTTTAGCATTCAATCCACATGCAATTTGATTTGTAAGAATACTTACTCATAGAATTGTTCCTCGTAGGTACCATCAAACTCATTAACATCCTTACCATCGACTTGCCAGTATGGATTCAAAGTACCTATGCTACTGGATATATTACAGTCCATGATGACATGAGATCCTACAAAACATTTAAATGTGACAATTAAAAATTGTGTACCAGTAAGCAGACTCATATGATTATGTAAATAGTTTGGGAAAAGGACAGTTACTTAGATTACAGCAACTGTGGTTCTTAGAGGTGTGTTGTCCATGTGTGTTGCACTTTTGGTGTGCACACTCCCACATGCTTGAGACCAGAGTCTTTTGGCCAGCAATGTCCACTGGGGCTCCGCATGCATTCTGAGTGGCCTAGTGCTCCTCTACTGAGGGCATAAAGGGTGTGTGTGGGGCCAACTGCCCCTAAATTCCTTTGCCATTGCAGAATCCAGATGTTACAAAACTCCACAGGAGCAGAAAAGAGGGCAGGTCATGCATCTCAAGAACTCCAGTTATTATAAGGTAAGTAATTCTTTTTTGAGTGCTTGTCCGTATGTATTCCACTCTTGGTGACTCACAAGCAGTAACCTGATAGAAACAGGTAGGTGCTCAGAGTCTGCTTAAACAAAGATTGCAGTACAGCTCTACCAAAAGCAGCATCAGACCTCAATGCTTCTACCAAGAAATACTGTTTGGTAAAAGTATGTCTTGAACTCCAAGTAGCTGAAATGGATACGCTTAGCACAGAAGCCGCAGAAGCTGTCCAAGTGCACTGGAGCAAGCTCTAATCTGAGTTGAGGATCTAAACTAGCTAATTCATAACAGCTGTTACCACATCACAAAACCCACTTGGAAAGCCTCTGGGCTGATAGAACTTTTATCTCAGAAAATATAGAAATGTAAAAAATAAGTAGTCATGGGGAAATCCTGAAGGATTTGGTTTTTTGTAAGTAAAAGGGCCCTGCAAACCTCTAAGGTGTGCAGCCTAGCCTCCCCTGGATTAGTATGTCATTTCTAAATGAACATTGGCATATTAATCAGTTGGTTTAAAGGAAAGCCCATAAATCCTTTCAGTAAGAACTTGGGATAAGGTTTAAGTGAAAATTTATCCCTACGGTGTCTGCCATATATGTTTACCAGATTCCAGGAGAGGATCATTAATGGGAAGTGCCAACTGACCAGGCATAGAGACTCTCCAAACATTTGGGAAGATTTTGTACCTCTTCCACAAGTTTCTTGAGAGACTCAGTTATATGTTTCAGAGTAGCAGCCGTGTTAGTCTGTATCCACAAAAAGAACAGGAGTACTTGTGGCACCTTAGAGACTAATAAATTTATCTGAGCATAAGCTTTCGTGGGCTACAGCCCACTTCATCGGATGCATGCAGTGGAAAATACAGTAGGAAGATCTATACACACACACACACACACACACACACACACACACACACAGAGAGAGAGAGAGAACATGAAACAATGGGTGTTACCATACACACTATAACGAAAGTGATCAGTTACGGTGAGCTATTATCAGGAGGAGAGGAAAAGAACTGTTTGTAGTGGTAATGAAAATGGCCCATTTCCAGCAATTGACAAGATGATGTGAGGAACTGTGGGAGTGGGAGGGGGGGGGGGAAATAAGCATGGGGAAATAGTTTTACTTTGTGTAATGGCCCATCCACTCCCAGTCTTTATTCAAGCCTAATTTAATGGTGTCCAATTTGCAAATTAATTCCAATTCAGCAGTCTCTCTTTGGAGTCTGTTTTTGAAGTTTTTTTGTTGTAATATTGCGACTTTTAGGTCTGTAATCGAGTGGCCAGGGAGATTGAAGTGTTCCCCAACTGGTTTTTTGAATGTTATAATTTTTGACGTCTGATTTGTGTCTATTTATTCTTTTACGTAGAGACTGTCCGGTTTGGCCAATGTACATGGCTGAGGGGCATTGCTGGCACATGATGGCATATATCACATTGGTAGATGTGCAGGTGAACGAGCCTCTGATAGTGTGGCTGATGCGATTAGGTCCTATGATGGTGTCCCCTGGATGGTGTCATCATCTGGACCCATGAAAAAGAAGCCCTTGAGGAATTCCATCATGATTTCAACAATTTCCATCCCACCATCAACCTCAGCCTGGACCAGTCCACACAAGAGATCCACTTCCTGGACACTACAGTACTAATAAACAATGGCCACATAAACACCACCCTATACCAGAAACCTACTGACTGCTATACTTACCTACATGCCTCCAGCTTCCATCCAGGACACACCACACGATCCACTGTCTACAGCCAAGCTCTAAGATACAACCGCATTTGCTCCAATCCCTCAGACAGAGACGAACACCTACAAGATCTCTACAAAGCCAGAAGAGTACCCAGAAGTCACCTACTACAGGACAGGCCCAACAAAGAAAGTAACAGAATGCCACTAGCCATCACCTTCATGATGCGCTGGAGAGGTTTTAGTTGGGGGCTGAAGGATCTACAACCTATCCTGAAGGAAAATCCATCACTCTCACAGATCTTGGGAGGCAGGCCAGTCCTTGCTTACAGACAGCCCCCAAACCTGAAGCAAATACTCTCCAGCAACCACACACCACACATCAAAAACACTAACCCAGGAACCTATCCTTGCAACAAAGCCCACTGCCAACTCTGTCCACATATCATAGGTCTAGAGGGGACTACCACCTCATTCAAGGTCAGGAGTGTATAGCCTCAGAAATTGCCTGATCCTCAGCTTGAGGGTGCTCCTCCTCAGAAAACTCCTCACGGGGCTCTAATTCATAGGTTGCAAGCCTAGGTGCCTGAGAACGTATAGGGGAGGAGGTTCTCATTCTAGAAGGTGGTGCAGAGGTGTGATGTCTTGGGAGGTGAATACCCCAGGGGTTCCAACAGAACCATGTTGGAACACTGTATGGAAATGAGGCGGGGGGCCCAAAGAAGGGTACCAGGACATATGCCTACTCCTACATCCCATTTGAGACCTTCACATAACTAAAACCCCCTTGATTCCTTCTCAGAGTCACAATACCATAAGAAGGGACCCTTGGAGACAGGGCCGGCTCTAGGCACCAGCAAAACAAGCTGGTGCTTGGGGCGGCACATTTTTAGGGGCGACATTCTGGCGCGGGCCATGCCGCCCCTAAAAATGTGCCCCGGCTGCCCTAGCTCACCTCCGCTGCTGCCGCTCGCGTGCTGCTGCTCGCCCTCCCTCCCAGGGTCTCAAACCCGGGAGGGAGGGAGGGGGAGCAGTGGCGCGTGAATCAGCTGTTTCGTGCGCCGCGGCCGCTCGGGATCTCCCCCTCCCTCCCGGGTTTGAGAGCCTGGGAGGGAGGGGGAGACTCCGAGTGGCCGCGGCGCACACACTGCTTCTCCCTCTCCCTCCCTCTTAGGCTTGAGAGCCTGGGGGAAGGAGGCAGGGCTGAGGATTTGGGGAAGGGGCAGAGTTGAGGCGGGGCCGGGGGTGGGATAAGAAAAAAAACGGGGGCGGGCGGGGGGACGGCCAAAATTGTTTTCGCTTGGGGAGGCAAAAATCCTAGAGCCGGCCCTGCTTAGAGAACAACTATGGGAACCCTCCAACATGTAGTGAGTCAGAAGATGAAAAGAAGCACTCCAGATTATTTTTTTGGTTGCGGGAGGTGGGGGACGTGTAGGAGGGGGAGATGGAGGGGAGCATTCCTGGAGTCAGAATGCTAAATTTGCACAGTAATTCTAGTAAATCAGCCTTGAGCATCAGTAGAGACCAGTGGAGAGCAGAGGAGATTCCGATTCCTCTAAGAGCAGGAGACCCCTCAGTACTACATACTTTCTTAGTATCGACAGGGACGGTGCTACAAACCTGAGTGCGGGAGAAGAGAGTATCAGGGTTGATGATATGGACATGCCCAGTACTGACACACTTGGTGCTGAAGAGAGTAGCATCAAGAAGAGCAGTACCAATGAGGCTGATACCATCACAGACGACATCGAAGCACTCAATGTTGAGGTAACTCCCAATGCTGTGGCCTCTGTACTGGAGGCAGTTAACTTTGATTCCCAAGATCGTGCCAGAGCCCTAGTGCCACGCTGCCTTAGAGCTGCTGTGGTTCCCAGATTGGGCAATGGAGTTTCTTTAGAATGGGAGCAGTGAGGTGACTTAAGACTTCTTACTGAGAATGCCCGTTGGGGAATCGGCCCTACTTTTCCCACAGAAGTGATGCTCCTTTTTGTCTGATGACTTTAAACAAAGTCCTAACTGAATCCAAAGCTAGAATGGTCTTAGAAGATGGCACGTGGGAGCTAGTGGATCCAAACTCACAGGAGCACTTCTGGAATGTCAGGGGACAGAGGGAGGAGGAGAGGAGGTCTGCCCTGCCCAGACTGAGACTGCTCCATTCAGCCAGTCTCAACAAATATTTCAAGACATGCCTCCCCAAACCTTTAAGGTCCTTTTAGAAAAGAAAAGGACTTACACACCAAGCATATGTCAGGGATATGGGCTTCCCCATATAGAAGAGATGAGGTATCTGGTACGCCTGTCATCAATCGCAATTGCTGCCTTACAGGAGGGGCAACAGATTCACATAGATTCCGAGGCTGTGTGATTTAGGAAGGGGCCATGACTAAATCCTGGGGCCAGAAATAAAATTTCAATCTGAGAAAAAACAAAATATGGAAGGACAAACTTCCAAATACACCTCTACCCCGATATAACGCTGTCCTCAGGAGCCAAAAAAAAAATCTTACCGCGTTATAGGTGAAACTGCGTTATATCGAATTTGCTTTGATCCGCCAGAGTGCGCAGCCTCGCCCCCCCCCAGAGCACTGCTTTACCACATTATATCCAAATTCATTAGGGTTACCATATTTCAACAATCAAAAAAGAGGACGGGAGGAGCCCCGCCCCTGTCCTAGCCCCGCCCCCATCCTGTCCTAGCCCCGCCCCTGCCCCTTCCACTCCCTCCCACTTCCTGCCCCCTCAGAACCCCCAACCTCCCCCCCACTCCTTGTCCCCTGACTGCCCCCCAGGACTCCACCCCCTCCCTAAGCCTCCCTGCCTCTTGTCCCCTGACTGCCCCCTCCTGAGACCTTCCCCACATCCTAACTGGCGCCATAGGACCCTACCCCCTACCTGTCCCCTGACTGCCCCAACCCTTATCCACACCCCCACCCCCTGACAGCCCCCCCCAGAACTCCTGACCCATCTAAACCCCTCTGCTCCCTGTCCCCTGACTGCCCCCTCCTGGGGACCCCCGCTCCTAACTGCCCTCCAGAACCCCACCTCCTCCCTAAGCCTCCCTGCCTCTTGTCCCCTGACTGCCCCCTCCTGGGACCCCTACTCCTAACTGCCCTCCAGAACCCCACCTCCTCCCTAAGCCTCCCTGCTCCTTATCCCCTAACTGCCCCTTCCTAAGACCCCCCCAACTGCCCCGCAGGACCCTACCTCCTACCTGTCCCCTGACTGCCC